GGAAGGGAAAGAGAGAGGGAGAGAAATATCAGTGTGTGGTTGCCTCTCGTTTGTTCCTTGCTGGGAACTGACCTGCAACCCAGGCTTGTGCCCTGACTGATAATCGAACCGTGATCCTTTGGTTCACAGGCCCCCGCTCAATCCACTGAGCTACGCCAGCCAGGGTGTAATTTTGTATATTGCTGGATTAATAAAAATTCTGTTCTTAAGAGTTCTCTGTCTTTTAAGTGAAGAATATAGCCCATTTATATTTGCCATCATTTCTGATATATTCGGATATATGTGTAGCATTTCATTTTTTCTACTTAACATACATCACGCATGTTCCTTTTTATTTTTCCCTTCCATTTCACCTTTTCCCCCTCAACAGGCTTGATATATATACCCCAGAATTATATTCTTAAAAAGAATATAGTAGAATGTTTTAATATGTTAATGTTTATGTCATCGTTATGTCTATATTACTGCCAAATACCACCCCCTAATCAAGAACTTTTACCTCTTCTCACACACAACCACAGTGGTCTCACATGTTATCACGTCGCTGTTGCTTTAGTTTCTACATGCTTTATAGTGTTCTCTCCCCCAAACAAGCTATTACTATATATTTTTAAAAACCCTTTGTCTTAGTGTATATTGAAGTCAGCCCATAAGCTGACTAGGTTTTTTGGCTTACAGTTTCTTTTTAAACATTGCCAACAATTCTTGGGGGTTTGTTTCTTCCTGAAGGACACTCTTTAGTAGTTCTCTCAGTGAGGGTCAGTGAATATACATGTTTTTGTTCTTTGTCTGAAAGTGTCTTTATTTTACTTTTTCCACCTCAGCCCTTCACAGAAATTATTCCATTATTTTCTGGCCGCTGTCATTGTTGTTGAAAATATATAGTTTGCTTAATAGTTTGAGTGTGTATTTTTTCAGATAAATGGTTCATGAATTGTTCTCCTGGTTTCCTTTAGTTCTTGGAGCATTTTCAAGATAGTTCATGTAAATTCTTTGTCTATTAAGTCTAATATCTGGCCACTTTCGGGAGTGGTTTCTATTAACTTGTTTTCTGTGAGTGGGCCTAACCTTTTTTCTTTGTTTTGCATGCCATGTAATTCTTCAAAAACCGAGAGTTTTGAATACGAGAATGTCGTTACTCTGAAAACCGCATTCTCTCTTCTCCCCAGGTCAGTTGTTGCTACCCTGGGGTTGCAGTCATTTGTGTGTTTAGTGACGTCTTCTAAACTATGTTTTGAAAAACTGTATTATTTACTCTTGTGTGGCCACCGAAGTCTCTGTTTCATTAGCTTAAAAGTCAGGTAGTGGTTTGACAGGCATTTCTGTAAATATCTAGAAACAAAACAAACAGAAACACTGCACCAGCCTTTGCAGGTTGGCTTTGTGCTACGGCACTGCTTCCGCCCTTGTCCAGGCTGTTTGCAGCTCTTAGTGTCCACTTGCTGCTTGTGCAGAGCGTAAAGGTCAGCCAGAGTCGAAAGCTTAGAGTCTTTTCTGAGAATGCGCTCAGGGCTAGGCATGTGCGTGGCCATCTAAATCCCCAGGTGAGAGGAGAAGCTTTTCATAGCTCTGATTCCTCCATGTATCTCCTTCCCCACCCTCCTCCTTCACACACTTCTGGTCTGTCTGCCACTTGCCTCGTGTATTTCCCCTCCTCCCGGGTGGCTATGGTTGGTTAGTATATTTGCCAAAGCAGAATTTGACAAATTCTCTCTAGGAGGCCTCTTTGGCCCCAGTGAGCTCTGAGGCAGGTGAAACAAAGGCAAGTCTCTGGGCCAACCCTGTCGGGGAGCCGCCAGACAGGCCAAACCACAGGTCATAATGCTTTGAGAACAAGGTCTGTGTTGTTCCCCTCACCACCGACAAGGAATGTGGCCAGGAATGCGGACTGTCCTCTTCACGACACTGGGAAGCTGGAGGGCAAGCGATGGCAGGCGCGGAGGTTAGAATGTCATAACGAGCTCTTACCGAGGTTCAACAGATGATTTCCTCATTAAGCATTCCTCTGGTTATTATAAGATTTTTAAAAATTAGATTCCAGTGTTCTGAAAAGTTGATTCTGACTGGCTGGACACCCTAGTCATTGCTTTAATGGAGGGGTAGACTTTCAGAGTTCCTTCCTCTGCCAATTTCATGTCGCTCACGAAATCTCGCGGGTTCTCCATTCTTATCATTTTGGGTGTTTCCTCTCCTACCTTCTCCCGAGTCTCTTCTTCTCTGAGGCGTATGGTGGGCTTTTTCATTCCATATCCTCTGTCTCAACTCCTTTTAGATTTTCTCTCTCAGTGCTGTGTTCTGGGTAATTTCTCTACATCTTTTAGTTCACTAACTCTCCAGCTTGGTCCGAGATGCTTTTTAAACCCATCTACTGACATTTTTATTTCAATAACTATATAGTGTGGGACAAAAGTAGGTTTACAGTGGTGAGTGTGCAAAACACAGAGTTTATTCTTGTTTTATTTGTGAATTATCGTATTGTTTTCCAAACGCACAACTGTAAACCTACTTTTGCCTCACCTTGTATGTTTAATTCTAGACATTATATTTTGTACTTTACAAAAGGTCTGTCCAGCCCCGACCAGGTGGCTCAGTTGGTTGGAGCATCGTCCTGACGTTGCCGGGGCTGCAGGCTGATCCCCAACAGGCCACATATGACAGGCAACCAGTGAAGGCATGAATAAGTGGAACAGCAAGTCAGGGTTTCTCTCTCTCTCCACCCTTCTCTCTCCCAAATCAATAAAAAAATCACCATGATAAAATACATCTGTCTACTCTTTCCTCATAATGTCTTATTCTTTTTTTAGGGCTCTTATTTATATCTTTAATACTTTTAAATATCTCCTATTTTCTGACGGCTTTTCAATTATCTTATATTTTCCGTGTTCTAATCCTCCCATTTGTTATGTTTGCTGATTCTTGATTCTCAGTTGTGGGGATTGGAGAATAAGACTGTGAGTTCATTTTGGGGAAGGCTTCCCCCCCGCCCCCAACACTCCATCCTGTGAGACTCTCTTTAGGTTTCGGTTGTGATTTCATATTTGTTTCTGTCAAGAGTCCCATGGATATCATCAAATTGGGATCAATTTTTATGCAAATTCTCAGGCATTACATTTTCTAAGCTGCATAATATTTCTAAGCTGAAGGTAGGGAAAATTCAAACCAAAAATATATAAAGTCCAGGCTCAAGATTTGTTTCTCAAGGTGGTCTTCTTTGTTTGTTTGTTTGCTTTTTCACTCAAAGCTCAGGCAGAGATGAACATCTCTTGTTCCATCACCTTGCTTTCTTGTTCCTCTGGGTGTGGGAAAGGTGTCTTCTTTGTCTTTTCCCTGAGGGGGTCATCTTTGCATGTTTCGGGCTTTTTTCGGGGCTCTCAGTTCGGAGTCCCCACTGTGCTTGGGCGAAGGCCTCACTCCTAGCGTGAGAGTGGAAGTGGTTTCTGCGATAGCCCTTCATGAGCCCCCCACCCACACTTCAGTGGCTCATCCCACCACTGTTCCTATTCTCCATTTCCAATGCCTGTGCGTTTTCCCCTTTTCTTGCCCGCTCAGCCGTTCAGTTAAAGCAGCAGTAGTTACATTGCCCCTAGTAGTTCAGGTAACTACCGAAGTTTAGGTAAGCACAGCAGGAGCGTTTTCAGGGTTCATTGGTTTTTCATCTTGCTGGAACCAAAAGTGTCTTCTCTCAAACTCCTGGGCAGGGAACTCGTAAAGGGACAGAGAATGAGTTCCCCATCTGTCCCTTCATTTTGTCCTCTGCTTATCCCTTTTCTCAGAGTCTTATTTGGCCCTCTTCTTTCTCGCTATACTGGGGGTCCTCACATACTTCACTGAGACTTGTGGATCCCTGGAGCCTAATGACCCTTTTTTTATCCTCGCTCAAAGATACGTTTTTAATGATTTTAGAGAAAGGAAGGGGAAAGGGAGAGAGAGGGAGGAGGGAGACAGAGATGTGATAGAGAAATATTGATCAGTTGCTTCCCATACATGCCCTGACTGGAAATCAAACTTGGAACCTAGGTATGTGCCCTGACCAGGAATTGAACCTGCAACCTTTTGATGTACTAGGTAACGCTCCAACCAACTGTACCACCCGGCCAGGGCTGGACCCTAATAATTTTTAACGAGTTGGCAGGACAGAGTGTAGTTAAGGACTCAGATCTACTGACAAGGCTGGGTTTGAATCTTTTTTTCTGCCCCTTCCTGGCTGAGCTACCTGGGGCAAGTTACTTGGCCACGCTGAGCCCATTTCATGTGTGAAGCGAGTAAACCACTGAGCCGGGACTCTGGAGGCATGCCGTGAGTGTGCGGTGAATAAGGGGGCCTTGGGCGAGGTGGGAGTTCGGTGTAGGTGTGCCCTGTGATTACATAGGGAACAGGCAGGCGGCCTTCCCGTCCTCGGGCCCCTCCTCCAGCGCCTCACATCCACTCCTCAGGCACAGTCATCAAAGTGAGTACTACCGCCCTGCTCTCACTCAGGAGGACGCAGAGGCTGGACGTGGTTGGGTAACTTGCCTCCTCCCATTCCTTGCAGTGAAGAACTGCTTCGGGCTGAACACCCTTCCATGACGATCCAGGGATCGTCACTGGAGATCTGAGGCTGCTTTAGAAGTGACTTTTCCAAAAAAAGAATTCTCATTTTATTTTACTGATTTATGGGAAGATTGTTTTCGGCCTTGGCATTCTGGGAATGGGGTGCCATTTGGGTGATCTCCCCGGTCAGATGTGAGCTGGCACAGGGGTTGGGAGGAAAAGGTAGCTGCTACACCTCCCCTCGGCCCAAGTAGAGCAGATCCTTAGGGAAGGGAAGACCTTGTGCTTTGACCTTGAGGTGCATAAGAGGCTCCTGCCCCAGGCTGGGCTTTTTTGGAGCGTTTTCTGCCCCAGCCCCACCCAGAGGTGCTGAGCCCCTGTCTGGGCACTGAGGTGGGAGGCAAGGCCTCTCTCTGTCAACATCTGTGAATGCACGCCGGCCTCGGCCCTACGCGGTGCCCCTCACTTACAGTAATGGGCCACAGGATAAAGGGCATGAATCTCTGGATGGCGAAGGTGTGGACGATGATGAAAAAGCAGAAGATGGACAATTCCATGGTGATGAGGAGAGTCAGGAGGGGGTGCACAGTGGTCCCAGTGAACATGACCAATGCAGCTATTAGGCAGCCCTGTGGGGAGACAGAAGCCTGAGCCTCCGCAAAGGGCCCTCACCTACCCCCGAGCCCCTCTAGAGCCCTTTGGGGCCCGCTCCTCCCTCTCTCTGTCTTCGGGCCCCCGCCCGGGGATACCAGGCCCACTTACCAAGCTTAGGATCTTGACCTCCGCGTGCCCCATAACCCAGAACTCTCTGTTGCTGTCCTTGAATTCCCACCTGTAGCGGCGACATCCCTTCCTGGTGCCCACTTGGTCCTTGGGCTGCACCGATTTTACCTTTGGCGGTAATGCTTCCGCTGCCGCATCACCTTTCTGATCAGCTGGTTTGGTGTCTGTGGGCGGGGGCGCTGCGCCCGGTTTGCCAAACTTTTTGCCTTTGTCTGCCATGTTTGCGTGGGACTCCTCAGCTTCTCACGGCCTGCCCAGTTTCACTGCTGTCCCCAGACAGGCCTGGCCTTTGAGCTAGCCTGGTGCCAACTAGCTTCCTCAGAGGCCACCCTCAGCCAACGGCCAAGACGGGCTAGGCTAACGCTTGGAGCCCTTGCCGCGCGTGCGCCCCTTCTCACTGCGCAGGGCTTGCCCGCTTCACCGCGAGGTCGAGCTGTCCGCCCACTCCCCACGCAGGAGCCCCTGCCCCACCTCCGGGCCCACCACCCGGGGCCCACCTCTGCCTGGAGCTGCCCTCAAGGTCCAGCGTGGCTCAGGGTGGGGTTAAAGGCCTTGCCGTGGCCTTCCGGGACAGCCGTGCCCAGTGCCCCACGGGTGCACTGGCCTGTGCAGGAAAACGTAACTCGATTTTTACACAAGGTAACACGTGGAAGCAGAATTGTTCCCGATTCAGCAGCCCTGATTTTATGATCACATGTGGGACGAAATAGGTAACAGAACGTGAGCTCAGTGGTGAAAGGAGCGGGAGGGAGACGCAGCCGCTGGTGCCCGCTAAGGTGCCCGTGAGGGTGCCCGCGAGGGTGTCGGAGAGGGTGCCCGAGAAGGTGCCTGCAGAGGTGCCCGTGAGGGTGTTGGAGAGGGTGCCCGCGAAGGAGCCCGCACGGGCGCTGGAGAGGGTGTAGGGATGAGCACCTCCCGGGATTCTGCGGTGGGTTCTGCCTGGTTTGGGGAGGAACTGGTTTCGCCTTCGAATCTCAGCGCTGTTTTCATGAGATTCCTCATCCTCTTGGTGACCACGATCGCATCGATGAGACACACGACTACCGCACTGAGACACAGGGACTGTCAGACACAGGACCATGTGTGGGAAGGAAAGGAGGGGTTACTGTGCAGCTCAGGAGCAGCCTGTCTTCCTTATCTCTGTCCCTGGATGCGGGTCACCTCGTGGCCCTCCCTGACCTCCAACCCCTGCTGTGACCCTTTCAGCCGCTCCAAGGAAAGGGAATTTTGGAAACGGTGCGTTTTGCTGCCAGTCAGGGCCTCATCCGATTCCTGAGGCACAGGAAAGGACCAGAGATGGGCCCTGGCCTTAGGAGGCCCCAGGTGGGGCTGAGGTCCTGAGATGGTGCTTGGAGGGCAGAACTCTCTCGCTAAGTTTGAAAGGGCAGGAAGGACTGCCCAAGGGAACCAACTGGGAGGAGGACTCCAGGTGCTGGACTGAGGTCTCCAAGGAATCTGGGGTGGCTGAGACCTCTGGAGCTGTTGAGGGAGGGGAAATGCAGGGTCTGGGACTTTATCAAGGAGAGGTCAGCTGGCAGCCTCATAAAGCCCACTTGCTGAATGGGGAGGTGACTGGAGAGCGAACCAGGCCGGAGGCAGGGGGACCAGTGGATGGCTGTGGGGCTCCTGCCATCCAGTAAGAACTGATGGAGACCCTGGCAGGTAGGAGAAGACTTGATGGCTGAGTTAGCAGATGGGGATCAGCTCCTGTCTGCCTTGGATGTTTCTCTTTCTGGTCACTTGCACTTAATCCCCTGGCTGCTTCCATGAACTTTTCCCAGGTGAGCTCCCCCAGGGGGCAAGAATTCTCACCTTGGCACTAAGCCTGGCACTATCCAATGGGGTTGGCAAATATCTACCGATTATGGAGTGAATTCAAAGAACTTAACCGTTTTTTTTCTGGATTAATTTGTTACCGTCGCTTAACTTCTTGAATCAGTCTCACCTGCCCACTCCCCACCCCACATCTTCCAAGTGTGTGATCTGCCATGTTTTGTGCTCTTTCTGTGAGGGTTTGAGTCCCAGTCCACCCCAGCCTCGTGATCCAGGGCAAGGTGTTTAACACCATATCTGTAAAATGAGTTGTAAGGATGAAGTAAAAATGTGCCTCGCCTTGTGTGGGGCACATGTGGGAACTTCCTTCCTTCCTGCACAGGCTGGCACTCACTCTCCACAATCCAATCCCCACTCCAACCATTGTTTTCATGTGCCTTTAAAATACTCTCTGATCCAGAGAGTCCTATTTATAGGACTAATCCAAAGGCAAAGTCCTATTTATAGACTTGTTGCAAGGGCTCCAAAACATGGTGTATACGACTCTCAAAAGGGGCTCTGCAGACGTCTTTTTGTCTCTATTTGGAGAATGAGTGTTCCAAGGAAAATTTTCTTGAGCTTAGCATTTGTGTAACTTCATATCTTCTGAAGTTGATGGGGAAAGAAAGAGAAGGGGGGCGGGGAGGATGTTGTTCTGGAAGTGAAATAATGAAGGTCTGCCAGCTTCCCTTTCCAAAGAGCCTTGAAATACGCATCTGAAAGGGAGTCATGAAAACCTCTACTTACCCCTCCAACATAGAATAAATGCCTTCTTTCCTTTTCTTGCATTGCCAAGACAGCAACTATTAAAAGGAACACAGTTGTAATGAAACTGTTGATAAGATCCTGCAACACAGAATTAAAAATTGTCAACTTCACATGAAAATGCAATTTCACAAAATCTTTCAGTGGGTCGGTTACCTAGCTAAGGGTAGATGCCTTTTGGAAACTTTCCCTTTGATTAAGAGGAGCCTCCAGCCGCATATTTCTTACATCTTCCAAAGGCACGAGTTTATGAGACTTCAAGGTCCTGGGTGAGGCTTGGTCAATAGAAATGGGTTTAATTTCATCAAAGAACACAATTGCAAAAAAGCTGACAACTTTTCCATCAGATTTTTCTTAAAGGCCATAGAAAAGTGAACATGAAAAAAATCTAGAGCCTGGTGGTGTGGCTCAGTGGACTGAGTGCCGGCCTGCGAACCAAAGCGTCACAGGTTTGATTCCCAGTCAGGGCACGTGCCCGAGTTGCAGGCCAGAAGAGGGGTACAGGAGAAGCAACCACACACTGATGTTTCTGTCTCTCTCTCTCTCTCCCTTCCCCTCTGCCTAAAAATAAATAAGTAAGTAAGTAAGTAAATAAATAAATAAAATTTAAAAAGACCCCTAGAGACCTGGGGGCCTACCCCATATTGATTTTCCATAAATATGATTTTGAAGCCTTATATTTTAGTTTTTTAAAGATTTTATTTATTTATCTTTAGAGGGGAAGGGAGGAGAGAGGGAGAGAAATATCAATGTATGGTTGCCTCTCATGTGCCCCCTGCTGGGAGCTGGCCTGCAACCCAGGCATGTACCCGGACTGGGAATCGAACCGCGATCCTTTGATTTGCAGGCCCTCACTCAATCCACTGAGCTATGCCAGCCAGGGCTGAAGCCTTATATTTTAAATTAACGTACTTCTGTAGTCTATTCCACAATACATTTGTTTTAATATAAAAATAAAATTTTAGAGTAGGACTTTGCCAATTTAATTCCACTCCCAAATCTGCAGGTGGAACTGAGCCTTTGGAAGTTGGGTCACTTATTCTGTAGGATCACACAGCTGAAGTAGTTGGGAACCCATCTCACGAGCAGGCCTGGTATTCCAGAGTAAATGCTTGTGCTATTGACACGTGCTCTTTCCTAAGACAAGGCCCTGACATCCACACGCTAGCGTGTCCTTCCTTCTGCATTTCAGTACTGGGTTCTTTAACTGCTAAATAAAGGGTGGGGACGAGAGGGCGGGGTGCCTTCCCGAGTACAGGAGAGGCTGGGGTTTGGTGGTGGAACTGTAATGGAAGAGACTGGCAAAAGCCCGGGTAATATAAGGACGGTATGGCTCAGATGTCTGATTTGAACATTTTTTAAGTGGCCTGACTTGGCAGTGTCAGCCTGCCTGGTGTTCTTCCCCAAACACAGCAAGGGCCCCGCCACCCAGGGGTGGCGTCCTCGGGGCTCCCATGGAGCTCTTCCGTGGGCCGAGCCTTTCCCCGTCACTATCTCATTTAACCCTCGTAAGCACCCTGCAAAGTCGGCATTCTTATGCTCTCCATTGAAGAAGATTTAACTGGGCTTAGGGAGGTTTATTACATTGCCTGAGGAAATCTGCCAAGGAGAGACACCCAAATAAGGAGGAAATGAACTGTCCCCCCAGGCTGGAAGTGCAGCATCTGCCTTTGACATTCTCTGTGGAATGGGCTGTGGAGGGTCAACATGGCACAGGACAGAAGAGGTGACGGTGCCTTTTGTTGATGTCACATGTCGAACTCATTTTTGGCCTGCCAGTTCCTAGACGTGTGACCTGGGGCATGTTTTATCACTCCTGTGTGCCCACACCCTAGTTTTTAACATGAAGATAATCATTGGGATTCACTGGGTTGATCTGAGGACTCCATGGCCGGAGGAATCTGAAAGCATCAGGGAAGATGCCTGGCATTTGTGGGTGGTGGGAGTACATCAAAGTGTAGTTTTGTGATGTCTGTCCTCAAAATATGCACAGACAGTGAACTTGGCAGACTCCAGATGTTTTTCCTATTGAGATTGGCAAGCAAGGAACCCTTTTGTGGAGGGTGAACTTGCTTCTCGGAAGGGTACTGATGTCTCTTTGGGCACCAGGTGGGTGACACTGGTAGGCATACATGGAGCGGGGCTGGGGAGGGCTGGGAGTTCCAGCTGGAGTCTGCAGGCTGAGTGACAGGTACAGCGGTTTGCAGCTCTGCAGGAAACTCAGCACCTGAGGTCTGTGCAACTAAGATGTTCAAAGATGTGAACAAGGACTATTACAAGTAAGAAGCAGAGTCTAGACTTTTTAAAATAAAAGTTAACTAGTTGTGGTCATAGGCCATTGAGAATTTGGATGGAAATATACTAATAATGATACTAATAATTAATCAAATGCAGAAGAGGTCCTACCTAGCCAGCCGCTGACTCCCTGTCATGAATCCATCTCCTTGTTGGACTACCGGATGGTACAGTTTACTCTGACCCTGACTCGAAAGGAAGTGCTCCCCTGGGAGCGCCCCCTGGGGCTAATGTTTGCCTTGTACCTAACATTCCTACTGTAGCTCACGTTTCTTGAGCACTTACTATGTGCCGCATTCCATGCCAAGGTATTAATACGTGATCTCATTTGATTCTCACAACAAAAT